ACACATGCAGCTTCTCCTGGAAATATCAGGAGTTTTTCAGGAGTTTTCTGCAAGTGTGAAAACCTTATAGTGTTTTTTGTTTTTTACTGCCTTGATTAGTGATCCATCTCAGGCTTCGGTTTTTCTTTGGCTGACACCTCACAGTGGCAATTTCCCATCTTAGTCATTTTGTGTTCTTATTCTGGGAATTTGTCACAGCACAGAGGCAGAGTCCTTGCACATAATACATTGAATAAACATTTGTTTTTTAAGGATTTTGCTTATAAAAATGTGTTGATGGATGGTTTCGCTGTAAGCACCACTGACACTCCTTTTTTTGTCCTTTACAGATTGAGTTCCTGAATTCAGTCATCGTCGATCTCCAGAGAAAGAACCAAGAACAGAAGGAAAAACTGGAGAAAATGGCTGAAGCTGCTCTCAACGGCAATAATCCAAGTGAGCTGGACAACTACGATAGGTGAGTCCCACACGTGGCTGACTTTCTCAGACATCCTCTAAACGTCTGTGTGTTACTGGACTGTCACGTTAATGTACCCTTTATGTGTATACTGCGTCTTGTGTCTGCGCTGCATTCATTTTAGAAGCCATGCACAGCCAACGGCATTATGTGCACACATATTATCACCTGCTTACATTAACATGGAGCTTCTTTAAAGAGGACATATTCTCCCCCTCCTCCATCTTTTCAAACAGTCCCCTGTGGTCTAAATGAAACATCTGTGCTGTGCTTTGGTCAAAATATAACATGAATCAACGAGGAGGTTTGTATAAACCCTGTATAAACCAGCTCTCTCAGAACGCTCCGTTTTGGTGTGTGTGTCTCTTTAAATGCAATGAGCCCCGCCCCCTGAGTTTTCCTGGTAGACATCACTCCTTCACTAGCGAGAATAAAAATGGCCGACCTGCGCAAAAGTTTTGTTCTAGGCTGGAGGTGGAGTCCATGGGTGGAGATACCAGGGGAGGGGAGGGGATTTTTTTTTTTTACCAGAATCCCACTGTGACATCACAAGGAGAGCACATTTGAAACGGAGCATTTTTCTCTGTGTTGTAAGACTTATGCAGACCACAAACAAAGAACTGGATGGGTTTATTTCACATGTTGTGGGTCAGTAGACACTCAGGTTACCCAAACATATGTTCAAAAACACTGAAGAAGTGTGTTTTTCATAACATGTCCCCTTTAATTCTCCCGCAGCCATGACAAAGAACCTGTGAAGAAGAAGCTTCCCCCGAGGCTGTTCTGCGACATCTGCGACTGTTTCGACCTCCATGACACCGAGGACTGTCCCACACAGACGCAGATGCCTGACTCCCCCGAACACAGCACCTTCCACGGCACCAAGGGCGAAGAACGGCCCTACTGCGACATCTGTGAGGTCTTCGGCCACTGGACCGACTCGTGCAACGACGACCAGACCTTCTGAAGCCCCTTTCCCCCCCCCCCCCCCCACCCTCGCTCGCACAATCAATATATTTGCACATCGTCTTCCATCATGCAGTGCTTTTTGGGGGTTTTTACGTGTGTGTTTGGTGTGCTTGTTTTTGCCAAGCGTCATTATCGTCCACGCCAGTCCTTAAGCGCTCTTACAGGAAAACAGTCACATTACAATCTCTTTTCAGTCATCCAATACAAATAACACACAGCTGTGAGCGCTCTGTATGCGTTATTGTACAATACTTGAGAAGAGAAATGTTTGATATCCTGGTTTTGTGTGAGTGATGACTTACTGTTGGTGGGTGCACATCGTGGGAGAAGCGGCCGTCTGTTTCAGATCTTTTAATTTATCAGAACCCCGACATTGTTTGCATAGCTTGTTGGGGGAATTGCAAAGAAAATAAAGTATCATACAAGGTGTTTATTTCAAACTGTAAATGATTGAGTGGAAAACAAATGTCAGTTCGCGCAACAAAAAAGGTGAGCCATAGTTTATTTTTTTAAGCCTGGAAATATTATGTACTCTTTGAAGCTTTGATAGGATGTGTGTCTTTTTGTGAATGTTCAAGGGGAGAGAAACACAGGGCTATGTGGCTTTAAGAGGAACTTTTTTTATGGTCTCTCTATGAAGGAAGTGCTGGATGATCGGGGGGGGGGGAGAATTTGAGCACTTGACACTTCCTGTAATCCCTCAGTTTCCAGTTAAAGGGCCTTTCCTAAAAGTTTCTTTGCGATGAAAGACAATTTGTGTAAGAAACGGTTGAATACTACGGCATTTCTTCAAAACGTTTTGAATATCTGTAAAGAAATAAAGGAATTTATGTATAAATTAAATCAAATCTCTCTGTGTTGACTTGTCATTTAATGGCCCAGTGTGCCCAGATTTTTAAACTCACATTCATTAAAGGAGCAGGATGTAACTCTGACACCTAGAGTTTGAAATGGGTACTGCAGTCTAAATTCTGATTGTTAATTTTAAATGTTTTAAATGACAATACATTCTTTCTGGTGTAAATTATTTCTCATCTTTGCTGTGCACAAATAATTCATTAATAATTAAAGTCCCCTTTCTTATTAGATTAAAAAGGCGGCGTCATTTTATATACTGAAGTAAATAAAAAAGCCTGGACATTGATTGAAGTTTTATGGTTATGTACTTCATTATGTTGGGATTATAAATTGCTAATTTCACTTTTTTTCCTGGAGATATCGATTTCTTTATTTTATAATCTTTCCTGTGAGAAGTTAATTTCAGTTTTCTGCTCCAGATCTTTACTAATTTTGTCAGGATAACAAAACCAGCTTCCTATTCTCGAGGAAATAGTAAAACTAGTCTCTGGAAAATGGAGTAGATAAAATATATGGACGCATGTCGGCACTGGCTGAAGCCGGTTGAAGCTAATATAGTAAAGCTAAGCCTAAAATCTTACCCTGGCAGATGTAATTCAAAACTCTAAGTTTGACCTTGACTGCAGTCCAAAGAAAGCCTGACTTGAAAGAAAAGCCATGACTCCTCAGGATAAAAGCGACTGTTATTCTTTAAGAGTTTTGATGTGAGGTCAGAGCGTGCTGAGCTTCAGATGCAGACCGCCATCTGACCAGCTCCACTCTCAACTCCACGGTCACTGGTTCCTGTTGGTCGTCCGTCTCGCTCTCCTTCCTTCCCTTTCCTCTTCCTACAGAGAACAACATGAGACAGGAATAGCTTCAAAAAGTACCAAAACTTAATTAATACAATTATCCCATCTCTCCCCCTATCCCTTTCCAACCCCGGTGCAGTCTAGACCTGTGAAGGCTGTTTCATCATGAGCCGGGGATCCGGCCGAAGATTTCTGCCTTTTAATAAGGCAGTTTTTTCTTACCACTGTAACTTTTGCTGCTTTGCTAAAAGTGCTCATGATGGATAGGCCGGATCTTTGTAACATAACAATAAGTAAGGTCTTTTACCTGCTTTTTGTAACATAACAATAAGTGAGGTCTTTTTACCTGCTCTTTTGTACAGTGTCTTGAGATAACACTTGTTATGAGTTGACGCTATACAGATAAATTGAATTGAATTGAAATGTGTCTTTTTCATAGGACAGAAATTTAATGGAGGAATGAGTTCATCAGATTTACAGACAAACTCATGCACACTGTCTAAATTGCACAAAAACATTGGCAACTTTTCACTTTTTGCAACCAAATTTTGGGTGCCTAGAACTTCTACTTTTGTTGCTGTGGACCCTAAACAGGTATCGATATGATTCCATTTTTACAAGAATCAAATCAATGTTTAAAACTCTTGAGGCGTGACAAATACTAGGACTGACTAATCAATCAAAGGAAAATGTTTGAAATATTTTCTTTATGCTGGACTGTAATTAACTACTTAAAAAAACCCAGTGACATCAACAACATTTTAAATAACGTCTGTACGTCTGTACTTACTTGGAATGACATGCATCAACACATTTTAGTTACGCTATCTCACTTTGAAAACGAGTCATTTCCTGTCGTTTTCCTGAAACATGACTCCTGTATCTTGCGTCCTTTAGAGTTGCAAGAGCACAAAACAAATACAGAAACAAGCCCTTTTCGTGAGAGTGTGATTTGGTAACAGCGCCGTAACAAAGATTTGCCGTCATTATGCCTGAAGACGTTCATATTGATGGCGTCATTTTGGTCCCCAAGTCGGTGAATTCCCATACTGCATGTGGTGGCTCGCCTTTAACAGTAACCGGCCCTATGTCTAGTTTTATTTACTGCCAGAAATTTTTCAAATATCATGAGAAACCAGGAGATTAATGCGATAAATTGATCTTTGCTGAAGGGAGAAAAAAGGGAGTCAATGAGAAAAATCAGTCGAGATCTTGAGAGAACATCAGGAATGACCACATTATAATTAAAATACGGATACATGTCCTCTTAGGGCTTCCGTAGTAAAACGATTTGCTTTATTATCTACATGATTTTATTAACCTTTTGAGGCTGCTGAATTCTTCTGTCTGGTGCTGCTGCCTCCTCTCTGCTTGGCTTCCTTCTCGTCCTTATTCTTATCCTCCTTTGTTTTCTTTCCCAGGTCCTAAAGTTATAAAAACATATTTCACATAAATAAATGGAAGCTATAAATCAAAGCTTTCAGATAATGATCACATGATCTCTGCTAATCACTGTTTGAGTAAAAACATTATTTTTTTAAGATTTATTTTTGGGCGTTTTGGGCCTTTATTTGAGAGATAGGACAGTGTTGGAGATCAGGGAATGACAAGCGGGAAAGTAGCCACAGGTCGGACTCAAACTTGCGCACCAACCACTGCTCCACCAGCCCCCAGTAAAAACCTGCTCTGCGTGTAAACTCGCCTTCTTATATGTCAGCGCAGCTCCCGACTCGGACTCCGTATGCAGAACACCAAACTCACAGAGGACGTCGATTGTTTGACCTGTTTTGAGCAGGTTCAGCAGGGGGACGTGGACGGACGCCAGGAATCTTGTGACGGGGGCGTCGTGAATCAGATCCTGTGCTGACTTCTTCTTTTTGTCTTTACTCTTGTCTTTGTTTGAACCAGCTTTGTTTGGGGTCTGAAGAAAAGACATAAAGAACTGTTTTATAATGTCTGAAAGCATTAGGGTTGTCCCAATCCTTATTTTTGAACTTTGATACAATACTATGACTCCTCACAAAGCGTTCACACTCTGGACACTCTGGATCTCTGAGGATGGTCTTCTTTGACCCTACGCAGACACTGACGTATTCTGATCTTCAAGTCTTTCTTAGGTCTACTTCCTTATACCTTCTGACCTCCATCAGTCAGAAAAGAACAGGGATTTATAGTCTTTGATCCCAGGACCTGCTGCTGATAAATTAGAAACACTGCTTGATTTTAAGTTTCACCGCTTTGTGTTCATCAGCTCTCTTAACTACCTCTCTATCAGTTTTTTCACACTTGAACAAAACTCCTGAAGTTTTCACTTTGACTTTGACTTTACCCCGAGTTTCTCCTCCCATCCACCTAGAACTTTTAGAGCGCTCTGATGTGAGAATCACAGCAGGACATTCAGAAGAATTCAATTCAAGCGAGGGGGAGTGGTGACGTTCATTATACGTGGACGTCGTGCTCTCCGTGCACATAATTAAACATCTGCATCATGTGTTTTCTGTTTGCTCGTTTATTCTACTCCACTCTTTTGTTTATTGAGAATCTGTCAATCTACACATGGTATTGATTTAAAGGCAAATATTCTCATTAAAGCGGTCTGTGTCGTTCTTTTTTGAAGTCATGTCTCTCAGGAGACGAACAAAAAATTCTGATGACAACCTTAGGATGCAGTCCAGCATTATCTACATTATCTCTGTCTTTAGCAGACATATAAACACCTGGATAAAGCTGATTTGACACTAACCTGTAACACATAAGATGATCAGTATGTGAGGAGTTTTTTTTGTTGCAGTCACCCTCTGATACATGATTCCTAAAAAGTGAATTCATTGACTAATACAGGGTGTTTACAGTTTGTGATTCAGCGTGAGTAAAAAGACAAGCTCACTTCTTTTCCTTTCCCGCCTTTCTTCACTTTATCTGCTGGGTTTGGTTTGGCTGCAGTGACGTCCTCTGAAGGTGGGGGCCATGACAAGACCTGAAGGGAAAATACCCAAATATGAGTCAATAGACCACAATTGTCAAAACAAATCCCTCGAACTTTGTCTCCTGTACCTTCTCTTCCTCTATCCTAAGATAAAGTCCTTGTTTGAGGAATCTCTTAAACCTACTCAGATCACCGACAGCGTGTGTTTGTGTGTCGCTGAAGTCCACGCACTCGGCCCACGGCAGCTTTGATGTGCTGCACCTCGACGCTGTGAGAAAGGAAATCAGGTGTTCGGAGCTGCATGCATAAATCAAGGTGTTGCACAGTTAGCAACACAAATCTGAAATAAAGCCACAGATGAGTCAGTGAGTGCAACCACTCTCCACTGGCTGGTCTGACTGTACTTTTCTCCGGAGGAAGCGGTCTGAATTCTTTAGAAACCGATAAGAAAATTGCAGTAATACAGGATACATGACAAAGGTAAATAATTCATCAGCACGATGACATTATTTCCAAAGTTGAATGCTATGCAGAGTAACTTTATCTTCTTGTGTAAACAGCAGACTCAGCTCTATCAGTGTTTGTGCTGGTAGTGCAGTAATCTGTTTTCCTGCAGGTCGCACAAGGCGAGGGTGTTATTGGTACCATGAGTTTCCTCAGTGTGCACCATCGGGTCGTCTGCATCCATCTGTGTGGACGATTCTTTTTCTTTTGCACAGTTTTGGTTTGACGGCAGGTCGGCATCACTTGAGATGTTTTCTGTCACAAATTTAGGCTCAATGTCCGACGTCTGTGAACAGCAACACAAAGACACAAACATTTTAAAGACATTTTCAAGTGGACATTTTTTTTTTTTGAAACATTCTAACATGTTGAATGTTGTTTTCAGAAACATTAACAGGACAAGGGGCATGTCAACAATTCAAGGATTAAAAAAAAGTGTTTCATCATGAGCAGGAATCTCAACCAGCACAAACATGCAAGAATACAATATTGTGAAGTGTGCCAGGGAATGTGGAAGAGAGCTAGATGCAATGTAACATGCCAAGAAGAGCTCTTAACAAAAAGGCCAATAAACCTGTTTCACACATCAGTGTTGTAGTACTCCAAACTGGTCTTGGTCTCAAGACCAGTTTTTTGAAGGTCTTGGTCTAATCTCGGAATCAGAAGTATTTTTCCACGGTCTTGTCTCGGTCTCAGACTGGGCGGACTCCAGATTTTAAATAAAGATCGGTCAAGACGACCACTGACAGGTTGTTTTTGCATGTCATTAATGTGATTAGAAGGAAAACACCTCTTTCTAAAAGGTATGGTATGTCTTGGTCTCTGTTACAACACTATCACACATGCAAAGCACTAAGAACATTTCCAGAAATTGCACGTGTGAGCTACATGTGTGACCACCATATTTTTTATATTGACTTTATCCAGACTTTTTCCTGTCGGTCTGCTGTTAAAATCTGAAGAGAGACCGAGCGGCAACCTCTGATGTTGAAAAATGAAATGTGCAAAATCCTGCAGTTTGTGCAGTACTGGAGGCTGGCTGCAGAAGTACAGGAAGTCACAGACACAGCCATTCAAAAAAGCCTTTTTTACAGCAGAAATGAACATGTTTACAGGCTGGTTAAAAAAAAAAAAATAGGTCCTATTAGCTCTTGACTTGTACACCGCACTATACGGGGGGTCGTCCATTAATATTTACAATATATATGAGAGACCCCACTCTGGTTACTGCTCATTTATCACACAGAGCAGCCTGCTGGCTTCACATAACATATCAGATCAAACCAGACAGCACTCACAATCTTGCTATGAAGCTGGTTGGAAAAACAGCGGGTAAAGTTGGTATAAAATATTTGTTTGTTTGCATTCCTGAAATTTTTGGGAAGTTTTCAGGAGTATTTTCACACCATGAAAGATCTACTCAGGAGGATTTCAGGTGGGCTGTCCTGATATGTTCTAAAGATTTTAAGGAACAAATGTGTGAAAAGGGCTCCTGAATTAAACATCCACAGCTGCAAAGAGAAGTGCAGGGATGATATACGTCACCGGTGTAACAGGAGCTTGTTGACTAAAGGAGTCGTATGAGATGTGATATCTGCAGGTAATGACGGGGAACTCAGGAGCGTTTTCATCCACACCCATCATGGGATCTGGGATTCCCCTCATCCTGCCCACGCTCACTGTGGCTGATGCCTGCTCCACTTTCAGATCTGCGTGAAGGAAAAAGGATCCTGATGAAATAAATGTGGTGACAACAGCACACACTCGAGACTCCTCCGCAGTCCCACCTCTCACGTCAGTCAGGCCCCTGTGACGACGTCTCTCCTCCGAGGAGATCCACACGGCGTCCAGGCAGGAGAGCTGTGGCAGACTGTCCACGGTGAGGCCGGGGTAGCAGGACGCAAGAGTGAAGGGGTTTCCCTGCAGTACCAACGTCCTGAGGCAGGGCAGCGTGCTCAGAGCGCTCAGGAGGGCCCGCTGGTCCTGAAACTCGCAGTCGCTCAGGTCCAGACACACCAGCTGAGGCCTGAGGTATGAAAGAAATCTGTTTTTTTTCTGCATGAAATCAAATTTTAATTAAGAAATAGATTAACTTAATCATCCTTTTTGAAGATTTATTTTTAGGCTATTTATGAGAGAGAGAGAGAGAGAGAGAGAGAGAGAGAGAGAGAGAGAGAGAGAGAGAGGGGGAGAGACAGAGACAGAGAGAGAGAGAGAGAGAGAGAGAGAGAGAGAGAGAGAGAGAAAGAGAGAGAGAGAGGGGAAGAGACAGAGAGAGAGAGAGAGAGAGAGAGAGAGAGAGATAGAGAGGGGGAGAGACAGAGAGAGAGAGAGAGAGAGAGAGAGAGATAGAGAGGGGGAGAGACAGAGAGAGAGAGAGAGAGAGAAAGAGAGAGAGAGAGAGGGGAAGAGACACAGAGAGAGAGAGAGAGAGAGAGAGCACAGAAAGAAAATTTGGATATTTACAGATTGTGTGCAGACAGATGGGAGTTATTTCAAAGTGTTATCCTGACATTTATTATCATACTTCCATAAAGAAGGGAGACTTTAAAGACACACAGTTGCAAAAGAAAGCAAAGAAAATCATTGATTACTTCCTATATATTAATTATGTCAAACTAGCTTTATATCTCTTGTAATTGTTGGTATTCATTTCAAGGTTGATCTCTGTTGTCTGAGGGTCTTTGTACTCTTAATAAAACATTATTAAAGTGTTTGGGGCGTGCTGGTGGCGCAGTGGTTAGGGCGCACATCCCATGTATTGAGACTCTCGTCCCGAGCGGTAGGCCCGAGTTCACTTCCACCCATGGCCCCTTTCATTCCACATTCTCAAGCCCAAAATAAATCTTAAAAAAAAAAAAAAAAAAAAAGTGTTTTCATGTGATGAGCAGTAAACTTTATGAAGAACAATCTGAACCATGGTGGACTATTTTAGATTTAAATAACTCTACTGCCTGATGATAACAAAAAGAAAAGGTATAAAGGTGCAGCTCCCTTTAATTATAAACCTTTTACAGGCTAAATCACTTTGATATCAGCTGACTAACGAGAGAGAGGGAGTCGCTTTGTGTGAAATCTTCACTTCCCCTGAAACCACATTTTAGTTGATGTGGTTTGAAAACAGCAGCAGCAGTTTGTTGGCAGGAAAACTTGTTGCCTCAGCTGCGTTCACACATGAATACCTACGACCTTAATGATGAGGGTTGATGATGATTGGATGGTTTCTATACTGATTAGAGCGCTCAAGAACTGCCCTCAATGTTGTGCTTTGCCTCTGGTCACTTCCTGTCAGCACCTGTGTGTCCAATCAGACTCAAAGCTGATCGTTTGCTCTTACTGACATTGATCCCTTTTTTGTAGATCCTTGCTTGTGTTGTTCTTACTCTCTGATGTACGTCGCTTTGGATAAAAGCGTCTGCTAATTGTAGAATAAGTTTACCTGACATGTTGCAGAAATGTGACTTTGAGGCTGTCTGGGTGTGTGTTTACATGTAAGAGCTTACCAGTGCCTTCCTGTAAGATGAGAAGCGTCGTCATGGGAGCCCAGTCTGTTTGCGCCGAGGCCGAGGTACTGCAGGCGAGGAGGCGGGCGCCTGGTGAGACCGCTCAGAGCAGACACCTCGTTGGCACAAAGCTCCAAAATCTTTGAAAGAAAAAGATTGACGACAACAAAGCACTTTTTTCACAACACCTGCTACACTTTGATGTTTTGAAAACCTTTAGTCATGTTGCACGATGATGCATTCCCCAACCCAGTGACTTCACAGTAACCAGTGATGACACAGAAAGGATGTGAGGACATTTAGATTTTGAGTCTGTTGACATAGTGGTACGTCTTCTTATTTTTTTGCTGATCTTGTCTTGGAATTGCATAAATCATGTTTTCTGATGAATAAACCCATCCTGTAGATTTGTAAAAAAAAAAAACACTCTTTGCCGGAAAAGTCAGTGTGTGGTCGATATCTTTGACAGCATCAGGTTTAATTCCTTTGTTTCTTCACCCCTTAAACAATCCTCACTGGAGCTTTAATGCCAACACTCTGAGAGAGGAGACGCTGGGTGAGCCGGTGCAGGACTCACCTTCAAAGTGCTGGGAAGGTTTTCTGCAGGGATCTGGGAGATTCTGTTGGCGCTCAGCACCAATTCCTCCAGCTTTGAGAACCTCAACAGGCCGTCATCAATAACTGACACCTGAAGAACAACACAGGAGAAACATCTAGTTTAGTAACAATAATAATGTTAAAATGGGAATCGTTGCATTGTGTTTATGGGGGCCGTTAGGGGCTGAGTGGTTGGCTATAGTATCGGCGTTGTCACTACCTGGAGCTTGCATGTACGGGGGCGTGTTTGTGTTGAAGGTGACCATGCTGTTTGGGCTCTGATGATAGGTTAAATGGAGACATGGGCTAATCAGAATTATTTCCAGTGGTGTAGTGTATAACTGCACATACCCTCTTATTTTACAGTCTCCATAGAGTCCTGTACTCACTTCTAAATCCCTGATTCAGTAGAATACTCCATTTTCTTTCCTAGTATATGAACAGATGACCCTCTCCACTATGTCTCTGGCTGGCTAGTTACACACTGACTATGTAAGAGTACTCTTACATGTCACAGTTTATAACAGAGGCCGTTTATCCTCTGCTGGACTGAAAACATTTGGGGGGGAAATTAAGAGTATATCCGCTTCTTTAGGCACCACCTTTTAGCACGACCTATTTACTTGAACTGTCGAACCTCCCTATCTTTAACCCAAGTCCCTACAGACTGAGCTGCTGTCACCCCAGGCTGTAAACATCTGGCTTTTTTTTTGACTATGTGTGTATGTGATTAACATTTCAGGCAAGAAATTTGTCTCCTCTGTCTTTGTTTCTCTTTCCTCACATATCTCCCCCCCCCCCCCCCGCCCCCTTTCACATTTAGGAGACAAAACCTCAAATCATAGGTTAGGGGAAGTTATATTTTATCTTACATCTTGTTTAATTGGTAAAGACTCTTAGTGCTAAACAATTTCCCTAACATCCTCAATTTCTTTATATTGTTTTTTTTCTGTTTAACTGCGTTTATGTCTTTTTAAAAAAAACATTTTTAAAGCTTTTTACTGTTTTAGGTTCTTTTATTGTTTTGAGGTTTTACTTTTTTTTCATGAATGCCACGGCACTAAACAGCAGGATAGGGTGACCAGTTTTGACAAAACACTGTAGGGCTGGTGAGCACTTCTCAATGATAACATTTGAGGTTTAATATGAGTTAACTCACCTCCTTGTCCACGACGCGAAGTGTGCTAAAGTATCTGTAGACAAAGTCAGTACTCAGGCGTTCGGGTGTGAGCACAGCTATCCGTCTCAGAGCTGAAGCCTGGGGGCTCCATGAAGCATCGACCCGCCATGGAGAGTGACTGCAGCTCAGCATGTCGAGGAGGGCGTCTGTCTCCTCTGTTTCTGCTCCCTTTGAATTGGTTGCTCTCTAAGAAGAAAGTTAGTATGCTTAGTTGCAATCTAACAAGCATGCATGCAGCAAATGAGAGGGTCTTTTACCACAATAGAGATAGGAATGTTTTATTATGCAAACCAATTCATAGCTGACAACAACTCACCCAGCTGCCGTATCCACAGGGAAAATCCTCCAGACACAGGCGCTGAATGAGCTTCTTCAACACTGCAGAAAGTGTGTTTGAGCTCATGCTTGTCAACAGAAGCCCCTGTTTTTTCTTCTGCAACATAGAGGAGAAACACAGCATAGCATCAGTGTGTAATGTATGGTCAGTTTGTCTTTGGTCAGTCATGAAGGGAACAAGCCTCTGGTGTTTGTTTACAAATGGCTGCCTGTTGCCTGGTAACAGCCTGGACTCTCTCCAGGAGAAGTGCACTGAGCGTATGTGTGTGTGCAGGTAAAGCAATTCAAACTTCCAACATCTCAGCTTATACCTGGGATTTTTTTTTTTTTTTTTTTTTTACTGCAACTGCAGGTTACATTTCTGCTGCTTATCCAGCTGCACACATCTGGCTGCCTCTGATGCTTTAACACACATCTTCTCACTGGCTCCAAATGAGCTGAGCATCCTCAGAAAATAAATCTTGCAACACCTGCCTGTAGAAGGGCATGTGTGTGAATAAAAGATGAGAACAGTTAAGGTAAAACCACCAACCTCTTGTTGGTGTATGAGTTAATGTTGCTCTTAAGGCCATAAAAGTTTGTGAACAATTAAATCTATCTGACAGTATAAATGTCGGTTTAAAGGCTTTATATGCATTTTTTTGATCCAGCAGATGTCGCCCTTGAGCACCAGCATGAAACCAAAACAACTCTCGGTGCATTGTTGTGTTAGCATGCTAATGCTAGCGATCTTTATTCTGCTGGTATCTTCACACTGCATGTAAATTTACCTGAAATGAGCGTGATCTAGAAACACAGTTAAGCAGTGAGTACAGTATGTTATTCTTCTTTTCTCTAGTCCCTCAATTAAACAACTTTTATACACGAGGGGAGGAGTCAGCCGGCCGTCCTGGCGATGTAAACAAACTGAAGATAGGACTCTGAAAACTCTGAAAACATCACAGACAGTGGGACTCGGGTGTTACACCCATTGTAGACAGTCATGACTCACAGAGTTATTTTCAGAGGAGATACTTGAGTTATATTATATTTAAGTGTGAAAAATCACATGTAAAGACTTTAAAAGAGCTGGAGAGAAAGGTACACCAATGTTTCAAAAGGCTTTATGAATAATATTTCTAACATATAATTAGATTGATGATTTGTCATTTGAAATCTTCAAGGCTGTTAGTACGAATTTTCATGAATTCATACATTTTGCTAACTTTGTGAATGAACCATTTAAATCTGTCTGCCATCTTAGAGTAACTCTTCTCTTAAGTTGAAGCTGTAACCATATCTATGTAAGACATCTCATAGCAGCAGAGTTATATTTGTTTTGGAGCCAACTGCCTGTTGTAAGCGAAGGTTTGCTAAGAATGAAATGAAGTCTTCTTTCTTGCCTTAGAGATGTACCAAAGTAGCCAAGAATTTGTTGGATGTACCTTCTAGCAAAAATATAAGCAAGTTTGTTAACATAGAAACTTTGTCAGTTTGTGATTGTTAACAATTTGTGTTCTGTTGTAACTGTCTGACCTCGGCCGATTAAACCGTAGAATAAGCCACAGTCTGTTTCGTGATTTCATCATTGAGTTTATACAGCAGCAACAACCCCCATCCAACAAAAGCCAAGTAATGACTATGAGTTGGACTTTTTTTGCAGACTAAACATTAAACAACACTAAACATAATTTCCACTGCGGAGTGGAGCTGTGTGCATCTTGAGTGACTGATGCATTAATCTATTGTTATCTCGGTTTGCTGTTGATCGAGCTGAAATGAATGGTGTAAACGTCCTGTAGTGGGTTATCTGCAGTAAGGGTGTCTCACTTGGCTTGTCATTAGGAAACTCCTTATCAGATAGAGAGTCTTTCCAACTTTGCATCACGGTTTGGACGTCGTCATGGGTCGAAAGAAACAGGAATCCCTCAGACTGGAAAAAGGAAATAAGCAAAACTGTGTCATTAATAATAATAATAATTTTAAAAAAAGTCTAATCTGAACCACGTTACAAGATAACAGTGAAGGTGACAGTGCCTTGCTTCCTTGACTTTGATCTAAATGATTCAGGCCTTCTTTTGAAATATTGGAAAGACATCTACAGCGTGATTCACACAGAATAAAGTAAAATTTACTTCATACTCATTTTAAGCATCATAAAAACATCTTTTACTTCATACTCCATACTTCATACTTTTTATTGAAAGAAAGAAAATAGCTTTTACTGTACAGGGAAATATTTTTCTTTTCTTCCCCCCACCCACCCTTAACAAAAACACTCATATGGATATCTTTGTAACACAACAATGAATAAGGTCTTTTACCTGCTTTTTGTACAGTGTCTTGAGATAACACTTGTTATGAGTTGACGCTATACAGATAAATTGAATTGAATTGAAATGTGTCTTTTTCATAGGACAGAAATTTAATGGAGGAATGAGTTCATCAGATTTACAGACAAACTCATGCACACTGTCTAAATTGCACAAAAACATTGGCAACTTTTCACTTTTTGCAACCAAATTTTGGGTGCCTAGAACTTCTACTTTTGTTGCTGTGGACCCTAAACAGGTATCGATATGATTCCATTTTTACAAGAATCAAATCAATGTTTAAAACTCTTGAGGCGTGACAAATACTAGGACTGACTAATCAATCAAAGGAAAATGTTTGAAATATTTTCTTTATGCTGGACTCTAATTAACTACTTAAAAAAACCCAGTGACATCAACAACATTTTAAATAACGTCTGTACGTCTGTACTTACTTGGAATGACATGCATCAACACATTTTAGTTACGCTATCTCACTTTGAAAACGAGTCATTTCCTGTCGTTTTCCTGAAACATGACTCCTGTATCTTGCGTCCTTTAGAGTTGCAAGAGCACAAAACAAATACAGAAACAAGCCCTTTTCGTGAGAGTGTGATTTGGTAACAGCGCCGTAACAAAGATTTGCCGTCATTATGCCTGAAGACGTTCATATTGATGGCGTCATTTTGGTCCCCAAGTCGGTGAATTCCCATACTGCATGTGGTGGCTCGCCTTTAACAGTAACCGGCCCTATGTCTAGTTTTATTTACTGCCAGAAATTTTTCAAATATCATGAGAAACCAGGAGATTAATGCGATAAATTGATCTTTGCTGAAGGGAGAAAAAAGGGAGTCAATGAGAAAAATCAGTCGAGATCTTGAGAGAACATCAGGAATGACCACATTATAATTAAAATACGGATACATGTCCTCTTAGGGCTTCCGTAGTAAAACGATTTGCTTTATTATCTACATGATTTTATTAACCTTTTGAGGCTGCTGAATTCTTCTGTCTGGTGCTGCTGCCTCCTCTCTGCTTGGCTTCCTTCTCGTCCTTATTCTTATCCTCCTTTGTTTTCTTTCCCAGGTCCTAAAGTTATAAAAACATATTTCACATAAATAAATGGAAGCTATAAATCAAAGCTTTCAGATAATGATCACATGATCTCTGCTAATCACTGTTTGAGTAAAAACATTATTTTTTTAAGATTTATTTTTGGGTGTTTTGGGCCTTTATTTGAGAGATAGGACAGTGTTGGAGATCAGGGAATGACAAGCGGGAAAGTAGCCACAGGTCGGACTCAAACTTGCGCACCAACCACTGCTCCACCAGCCCCCAGTAAAAACCTGCTCTGCGTGTAAACTCGCCTTCTTATATGTCAGCGCAGCTCCCGACTCGGACTCCGTATGCAGAACACCAAACTCACAGAGGACGTCGATTGTTTGACCTGTTTTGAGCAGGTTCAGCAGGGGGACGTGGACGGACGCCAGGAATCTTGTGACGGGGGCGTCGTGAATCAGATCCTGTGCTGACTTCTTCTTTTTGTCTTTACTCTTGTCTTTGTTTGAACCAGCTTTGTTTGGGGTCTGAAGAAAAGACATAAACTGTTTTATAATGTCTGAAAGCATTAGGGTTGTCCCAATCCTTATTTTTGAACTTTGATACAATACTATGACTCCTCACAAAGCGTTCACACTCTGGACACTCTGGATCTCTGAGGATGGTCTTCTTTGACCCTACGCAGACACTGACGTATTCTGATCTTCAAGTCTTTCTTAGGTCTACTTCCTTATACCTTCTGACCTCCATCAGTCAGAAGAGAACAGGGATTTATAGTCTTTGATCCCAGGACCTGCTGCTGATAAATTAGAAAACACTGCTTGATTTTAAGTTTCACCGCTTTGTGTTCATCAGCTCTCTTAACTACCTCTCTATCAGTTTTTTCACACTTGAACAAAACTCCTGAAGTTTTCACTTTGACTTTGACTTTACCCCGAGTTTCTCCTCCCATCCACCTAGAACTTTTAGAGCGCTCTGATGTGAGAATCACAGCAGGACATTCAGAAGAGTTCAACTCAAGCGAGGGGGAGTGGTGACGTTCATTATACGTGGACGTCGTGCTCTCCGTGCACATAATTAAACATCTGCATCATGTGTTTTCTGTTTGCTCGTTTATTCTACTCCACTCTTTTGTTTATTGAGAATCTGTCAATCTACACATGGTATTGATTTAAAGGCAAATATTCTCATTAAAGCGGTCTGTGTCGTTCTTTTTTGAAGTCATGTCTCTCAGGAGACGAACAAAAAATTCTGATGACAACCTTAGGATGCAGTCCAGCATTATCTACATTATCTCTGTCTTTAGCAGACATATAAACACCTGGATAAAGCTGATTTGACACTAACCTGTAACACATAAGATGATCAGTATGTGAGGAGTTTTTTTTGTTGCAGTCACCCTCTGATACATGATTCCTAAAAAGTGAATTCATTGACTAATACAGGGTGTTTACAGTTTGTGATTCAGCGTGAGTAAAAAGACAAGCTCACTTCTTTTCCTTTCCCGCCTTTCTTCACTTTATCTGCTGGGTTTGGTTTGGCTGCAGTGACGTCCTCTGAAGGTGGGGGCCATGACAAGACCTGAAGGGGAAAATACCCAAATATGAGTCAATAGACCACAATTGTCAAAACAAATCCCTCGAACTTTGTCTCCTGTACCTTCTCTTCCTCTATCCTAAGATGAAGTCCTTGTTTGAGGAATCTCTTAAACCTACTC